TAAAGTAAATGAAGGGAAGCAGATGTTAAAGGAATATTGCCTACTTCTTATGGACAGTTTATGTGGATGTAACAAAATTGCTCTCTTCCATTTATTGCATGCTAAGAGACAGTGTGTGGGTTTAGCAGCACAAAGGCTTGGCCACAGGAGTGGGAAACTGAGGAAAGAGAAAGTGATTTGCCAACATATTTTGTTCATTCACTGATCAAGCTGTGACTGTTCCATCATATTGCCCAAGATGTGTATTTTGTAACAAGGATTTGTAGTCAAAGAAGCATTGTTTTGGTTTCTTACTGTATTAAGCTGCAGTCTAGAACTGGACTGAAAGAGGAATTGACTTGTTCTGCTGTGCTCTGGCCCAGGAAAAGCATCTGATCAGATAGCAAAGTTTGTAGATAGATTTGAGGTTCTTGGTGGTCCACTGTGACATTTGATGGTGATACGCCCCAACTCTTTTTGTAAAGAGTTACTCTTAATAGTAACTTTTTTACCTTTATCCTGTCTTTCATTTTTCACCAAAACTGTACTTTTAGTTTATATGTAGGTTAATAGTGTATGGTGATGTGATGTGGTTTTGGTTTTTTTTTTTTCTTTCCCGTATTTTGAGGAAATGTATTCTGTCTTAGTTTTTGTAGGTTTTTAAAGTTTTGTATAGGCATGTAGTTACTTGCATTATTTTTGCTTACTCAGTTAAGAATAGTATAAAGAAGAGAACAGTTTTGTTTCATAATGGTTGATGAAAAGCATACCTTAATAGGGAGCTATTGAAGGTTCTTTTTATTCTACTGTCTATAGCTATTTTTAAATAGATGTTAAAGTCTGCCACTTGTGTTGCCTGAATTGGAGAGGAAGGAACATTAATATATTTCAAAGACTGAACTCACTCTCTCTGACTTTTTTTTATACATCCAAGGTGGATTTATATGTAGTCCAGAGTAAGGAATTTTGCTTTGTTTCGGATCAGGAGAAACATGAGTTGAATTAGTTTCTCGTTCCTAGATTTGTCTTCTGTAACTCAGAAATTTTTTGCCTATTGTACCTTGAAGATCTATAAGAACACCATGAATCAGATTAACCATGCTGTCCTGAAGTTCACTTTCTCCATGATGCTTACCTGTGCTTGTTTGAAGTACTTTGTTGATCTCAGCAATCACAGCTTTGAACTTCTTTGAACTGTACAACATTCATCACATATTCCGAAACACTGAGTACTAATATTCTTTTGTATTTTGAAATGCCTGTGGAAATTTATGGGAATTTGGGGTTGGGGTTTAACCACAAGCTTCTGTGGTTCCTTTCCTTGACTGCCATAATTCAGTGCACATGACACTTACAGACTCTCTGTGGGCAGTTTGTTAGCGGTACTGTGGAAAGCTGTGATTATGACAGGCAGCCACAGAAATGAGATCTGTCATATCCCAGCAGTTTTCTCTGGGCTTGCTAACGGAGGAGCAGCTGATGGGATTGGACAGCAAAGCAGCAGCTGTTACAGAACTGCTAAGAAGGTGTTCAGAGCAGTGGATTCCAAAGTAGAAGCTGTGGTTTATAGGGGCAGGATTGAGGAGCATGATACTTATGGCAGAATTTGGAGTTAGAGAATACAGGTGCCAGTAACTTTTAGTCTGCAAGTAAGGTCTGGGATGGAAAAGAGTTGGGGAATAGCTGGTACAGAGTTTGTCTGGAGGCTTTACAAATACAGACCTCCACATGGAGAAACATGTGTTTCCATGAGCTCTTTCTTTCACAAGTAGATCAGCTGTTGGCCTGTTTCTTCCTGCAGTCCTAAAACTTGTTTGCAACAGAGCTTATGATCAATTCCTCACTGTTTGGGTTCCATAACTGTTAAGTGGTTACCAGGGGATTTACATGCCTCTTCTCTAGCCTGGAGTAGACTAAAGCTTTATCAGCAGGAAGAGTGTGGTAGGTTGACCTTGACTGGACACTGTGTGCCCACCAAGCCGCCGCTCTATCATTCCCATTCCCAGATGGACAGGGGAGACAAATAAGATGGAAAATGATTCGTAGGTTGAGATAAGGCAGTTTACTGAAGGAAAAGAGAAAGTTTGCCCAAAGTGAAGAGGAGAATAACAAGGTTTATTTACTACTTCCCAATAGTAAGCAAAGCCACTTCCCGGGAAGCAGGGCTTCAGCATGCATAGCAGTTGCTCAGCAGGGAAATGTAAATAATGAGTGCCCCCTCTTCCTGCTCATTTCCTTATGTTTTATATCTGAGCTGATGTCATATGGTACAGAATATCCCTTTGGTTAATTTGAGTCAGCTGGCCTGGTTTTGTGCCCTCCCAGAATCCTGCCCTCAGTTGGTGCAGGAATGTTAGGGTGTTGGTGCTGTGCTCAGCAGTAGCCAAAACACTGGTGTGTTATCAACACCTTTGCAGCTACCAATGCAAAGCACAGCAGTGTGAGGACTGCTGTGGGGAAGTGAACTCCATCTCAGCCAGACCCAAAGCAAAGAGATATTTTCCTATCATGCCAGTTGTCTCCAGAAGATTCACTGTTGATGCTGTTCACGTGGACTAGTTCTAACATAGTCCGTAAAGATAATATAGTTTGGACCTGAGATGTGAGCTTTGGAATAAGTGAGGGTGGATTTGCTATCCCCACTGTTGGGATAGTGGCTGTTCCTCTCACTCTAGCAGATCAGGCTTGCTCCTTCTTTTGTTCGGTGAGCTGATCAGATTGAAGGACATAGCTATTGAATTCAAACCCTATCCCATTTCATAATGACTGTGGAGTGGGCTTTTGGAAGACTGAGGAGAAGAGGATGTCCCCCATAGCAAATCTGGGATGCTTCTTACTATTAAATTATACCTCACTTCTGTGACTTCCATGAATTATATTTGTGAAAGCAAGAAGCAGGTTGCTGAGACAGAGTTAGAGACTTTGAATATTTCAGGGAGCCAGGGAAGGTTGTCGGTGCAAAGTGCCTCTAGAGGCCAAGAGAGCAAAGGTTGGAGTGTGTTGTGTTTGTACTTGAACCTGCAAACTATGGTTTTATCATTTCTCCTTTTTGTGTTTGTCTGCCCTTTGACCCTGAAGCATACAAATTGTATGCTTTTCTAGACCAGGACAATTCACTTACTTCTGTTTTAATTTCTTCATAGCCTTCTGTTGAAGTCCTGATACTGGATTACTAAATTTTTCATCCTTACCTTTGTTTGCTTCACTTAGAGAGCTACGTGATAAATCTCCTTCATATATGAATTCTGTACATAAAGAAATTGAGAGGGGGAAAAAAACAAAACCAAAGCATGCTATCCCAAGACTAGTCTACATGCCAACAAAGATTAAAATATTTCTTCACTTTGTCAGCATGTCCTTCCTCCCTATTCATTTAGAGATGAGACATTCACAGCTGTCTGAGAGACCCTAACTGCCTCAGACATTTGCACAGTTACAGAGTTTGTAGGATGCTTAGGATTCAACAGGGGAGAATTTAAAGGGCAGCTCTGTGGTTGGTAGAACTACAGATCCTGTCCGCTTTCTTATCACTTCCCTTGAACTAGCAGTGGTGCATCATTGTCCAATTTGATTGAAAACAAACTTGCAAAAAAAGAGGAAGAAAAAGTGCATTTAAAATCCACATGAACCATCAGAATTCTTGTTGGCTTCCACTGCACTTAAGGAATGTATTTTTGGTTTGTTTTTATGTAGGTGGGAGAAGAGCATTAATATCCAGTTGAATCTTTTGTAACATCTTTCATATATTTTGTTGCCCCTGTTTATGAGCTCATTTCAGTTTGTTAACTTGATTTCCATTTGATTTTCATTTTCTTAAGAATTAATCTAGTTGCTGTTTGGTGCTTGATTTTCATTTTTTTAAGAATTAATCTAGTTGCTGTTTGGTGCTTCTCAAAATTTAACCTCTTAATGTTTTTTAATGCTTAGACTTATCAGAAGCTATAAATAGTGAATTTTTTAATAATAAATATACAATTTCTTATTAGCAAAAAGTTGGTTTTGTTTTTTTTTTTTCATTCTTACAACAAGTTTCCTTCAGGAAAAAAAAAAACCCAGAGAGAATGAGAACTAATTTTGTAGGTGCTAGAACTGTTGGATTTATTAATTTTTTTTGGTGTGTCAAATTACCATGTTCCTTAACAGCCTTAGAAGCTATATTTGAAACACAGTTAAAACCTTATATTTTTGTATTTTCCTGCCTTGCTGAATTCTTTTTAGATTTTTAAATGCCTTTGTGAAACAACTATATGATCTGATTGTTGTGAAGTAAAAGATTTTAGTATTTTTTATTTTGGGCCTAGATTAGCTTGCAATAAGTAAAAGAAATTTAGATGCTTTATCTGTGTGTGAATGTGAATTCATCTGGCCTGACATCTATAACATTTGAATTTTTATTTAAATTTGATGTATATTCTTTCTGCTGCTGTCAGTGCTTTGCTCACTGTATTCTAAAATCTGCAGTTGATGTGTGAAATTTAGTTAATGAATTTATTATCCCCAGTTTTGAATGTTTATTTCACTTGGGTTATGCAAATGTAAAACCAAAGAAAATGCAGTTCACTGAACACATTAATCAATTTCACTGTTCACATTAATTTAATTAAGTGTTCTTGATTTTGTGGGAGAAAATAGGAATGTGTGTACAGCTGCTGTTTAAAAATAGTCCTTTGGTTTTCCTCCTCAAAGAAATAAAGCTGCTGATAAAGCTTTTCCAAAATTCTTTATTTCCTCTATGTGACTTCCAGAACAAACCAAAATTTGATGCTCCTTAGAAATGTTTTCCTCTTGATATTAGTTACCGAGAAACACGTTCCCGATTCATGGATTTTCAGCGATGGGACTTTGAAAACTAGTATTTGTCCCCTTGTTTTCCCCCTGGTGGCTACAGTAGTACCTGTTTGTTAGTTCACTGTGATTGGGTTGGTGAGAAGGGAGTGAAGAGACAAGATGGTTGGGATTTTTTTAATTGTTTACCTGTTGGTAAAATCACAATTTATGTTTTCTTTTATGTTTCCTTCCAGATTTCACAATGGCCTCTTAAATGTTAAAGACGTTCTTACAAGTTTTGACAACACGGGGAATGTCTGTAAGTCACTGTTTATTTAACTACAGTATCATACTGATAGAAGTCTAAATGCATCAGTGTAAAATATTTCTGTATGAGCCCTCAATAACCATTTATTTTAGCTGAGAAGCTCCATTATTGTGGTCAGAGGTACCATAACCTTTTTTACGTGTTACAGTTTTACCCTGCACAGTTGTTTGTGTGGATACACCCTCAAGTCATCCCAGTGCAGGTTATTTTTGCTTCTGTGACTGTGGTGGGAACATAAGAGCAGCTGAACCGGGTTGGACAAAAAAATTAGTTTAGCCCATTGATTTGTGTTGGCCAGTGGCCAGCAGTGGCTGTGCAGGGAACAGCAGTGCAAGAACATGGGAAGCAAACAATGGCACTTCCAGCTTGGAGTGGGCAAACTCAAATCACAGAAACACAAAAGAAGACACGCAGTCAAGTTGTGAAATTGCTCCCCACAGAATGGTGGTGTTCCTAAAACATGAAATGAATTCAAAAAAAGCAAAGGGGAAAAAAATTGTGCAAAAAAAATTAACTGTGGCCATTGAAGACACCACTTATGGCTTAGGAAGTGCTGGGTCTTAGGAGAATTAATGGGGCGGTAGGATGATATGTTTGTCCTGATCTTTCACTCTTGTCTAAGCATCAGTTACTGGCTGCATTAACCTGAGACAAGATGAGCTGTAAGTGGGCCATCAATGTCTGACCCAGTATGGCTCTGCTTCAGTATACTTATTAAAAAAATTATCTATGCTGTTAATGGACTTGAATTATAAAATTGTGGTAGATTGTGGAAATGAAGCTGAGCAATAATATTGCAATACTTTTGATGTGATGAGTAATTACTATTATAGAATTATATACATATCATTCTTATTTGATTATTCGGCCTTATCTTTCAGATTGGTTTGTTTGTTTTCAAACAAACTGATAAAATAAAGTTGGTAAAGTTTGTCAGATATTCAAGAAATGTGCACGTATCTGTTTCTCCTTATCAAAGCAAATATATAGAAACTGTTCTGATATATACATTTCATCTCAAAACTGTAGTCTCAGTGTACCAAAGCTATGTTTCAATAAATACTGGCTTTTCATTAGCAAAAGGTCCATTCATTTAATGAACTTTTGCCTTCAAAAGGAAAAAATAGTCATAAACTGTATGCTTTTCTTTTTAAAACTTGTTAGCCTTCCTTCAGTTCTGAATATTGAAGATAATTTAGTGGTCTTGCCACAAAATACTTCCAGATATATTCTGTATCTGTTACCAAAGAGAAATTGGTTCTCTGATTTCTGAATGAAAATTATATCTAAGGGATATATGAATATCCAAACTGGTAATATTAAGGCTAAGAAAGAAAATTCGCATTTGGAATTATGGTTGACTTTGGCTACAGGTGTAGGCATAATGAGCTGGATGATAAAAACATCTTACGATCTGGAAGAAAAATGCTTTGCTTAAATTATGGGAGGCATTTAGAGAGATTTAATGTTCTGGATTCTCGGGAGAGGATCTATAAGACAATTCTATAAGAAGCTATGTTATTTTCATAAACTGTTCTCAATAAGCAAAATAATTAAGAAAAAAAACTAGGGCTTTGGATCCAGAAAAAATATTGTTATATTAGTTCATTAGATCACAACTTGGGTATTTATTTTGAATAGCAGAGAAAGTGTTTTGTATATGTGTTTAGAAGTGCTTACTCTGTGAAACATGTTGACGTGATCTCTTAATCTTTGTTCTTTGTGTGAGAGCTTAGATTGTTCTCAATCTACGCAGATTTCCCTGTTAACACAAATAATTTACTCCACTGAAGTTTTCATATGCTTTCCTATTGATAGGTGTGTTGTCAGCTCTTCTGTTAACTTCTTCCAGTTTTTCAGCTACTTTCTTATTGATTGCAGATGGTAGAACAAGACTTACACTCTAATAGGCACACCACTGGTTCTGACAGAGGAGTAATATGACATTTGTACTCCTTCTTACTGTTTGTTTGTATATACAAAGATTCACATTTGTCCTTTTGGATTCAATATTTCTTTGAGGGTTCATGCTGTGCTAATGTATACAGTGTTTGCTAAGTCATTTCCAGATTCACTGCTCCCCATTTTTAAATGTCTGTATTGATCTACATATTGGTGATTTATGCCTGTTTTGCTATGCACTCTAGATTACACTCTGTAAGGGTAATGGTGTAATTGTTATCTTCTGGCAGCATGCAATATTAGCTTGGAGAGTAATGATCATACTTTTTTGCTACCACCTGTATGGAATAAATGTTCTCAGTGTCCAAGCTGGAGTAACTATGTGTCTGTCACACCACCATAGTAAAGTTCTCCCTCCCATGTGTTTACTAAACTGCTCTGTTTGGCTCATACCTGATTGAATTTTTGTGCACTCCCATTATCATTTGATTTGAAATGTCTCTTTCTTTGACCTTTTCCTGTGTGTTTTTTGACTCTCTTTGTGTTAACCCACTGTGGAAATGATAGGGGGGTCGCCTCCTTTGACCCCCTAAGGTAACTACTATTTTATTTCCAAAATTAGATCGAATGTTTTTTACAATTGCTGTAGTGTTCTATAAGAACTTTGTATTATCAAATCATAACCTGTTCTTAAAAAACTCCAAATATTTCTAAGCTGGTCTTTAACAGTATCAGATTATTTCTTCTAATACCTAATACTAACAGAGCTACCCAATACTGAACATACTATCACCACAGCGTGCTCTGTGAGGGGACACATTGAAAAATTACAGACTTCAGTGTTCTTTTGGGACACTGCCTAGCCAGCATTTATGTACTGTGCACTAAACTTCACTTAAACTATTTGGACTGAGTTGTCAGAAAAGAGGTAAATATTTTAGTTTTCTGTGTGTTTGTTTTGGCTGCAATACAGCAAATTTATCAGCAAGATTAATGTTTTGCTAATGAATATTAGATTATGAAAGAATTGTGTGTTAAAAAGATTAGATGTTGTAAAAACTGAAACACGTTGCATATTACATCCTTTTCAAACATCATTTTCTTCAAACAACGTGGTTTGTTTGGTTTTGGGAGGAGATTTTTGTTTCTTCCAGTAAGTATTTTCTATTAAACCAAGCTCTTTCATGGAGCATTTCTGTGGTCTTTCTGTTTCACATTTTGATCTCTCTTCGTATTGTCTTTAACAGCCACATCACCATACACTATCAAAAGAAAAGTGGTAGAGCAGACTCTAGTTAATACCACTTTTCTCCAAACTCCCAGTAGGTATCAACTCAGTACAAGATGTGCCACTAGCTGGCAGCATTATATAAAATATCAATAAGCAGCTTTTGAGGAATACTCATGACTGCTTCCAAAGGCACCGCCTTATACCAGTAAGACTTCAGAACAAAAGTGGAGCCAGCTGCAATAGCTGTAAATGGTGTATTGCAGGGTCCCAAGTGTTAACTCTGAAAATTGCCTCTGCACAGTGTCTTGTTCAAACGTGATACCTACACTTGTATTCTCTCCTTTTCGAAAAGATTTTGCATTTTCATTGTAGGATTGCTACTGTAAATGAAAATCCACACTATAATTTGCAATTAGTTGTCGCTGTCCCAGAAAAATGTGAAATTTCTTTCCTCTCCCGTTCCTCTCCTGTTTGTGAGAGAGTGGTTTCCACATGACAACTCTAAATGAATTCTCCACACAGACAGGATGCAATGCTAAATGCACTTCATTCAGCTTTAATTCTATGCAAAAACAGGGAGGGAAAAGAGGACTGGAATGAAGGAAAGGATCAGTCTGTTCATTTTAGACAACAATATGCCATCTGTTAAAAAGATAGTGCATTCTGACACCATCTCTAGTCCTAAGATAGTCCTTTAAAAGAACTGCTGGATCACAGGCAGAAGGTTCAGTGGTGGCATTGTGGGATAGCACGAGTTGGCCCCGGGAGCCACATGCCACGCTCAGTCTTGCAGAAGAAACTGTCCAAAAATTAAGGAAAATTCTACAAGGATGAGCTTTTTAGATTATCACCTTCCCTTGCCTTTTCAAGGGGGAGAAAGCAGTTACGACTGAAGTGCTTGTATGACTATGTTCCTGAACTAATAATTTTAAATTAAGTGAAATGATCAAGGTCCAAAATATAAGCCTCTTCACTAATTGCCATTAGCCTAGGCAAGCTACAGAGTATGTAAAGGAGAATTTTAGGAAATTAAATACAGCATGTTTTGGGACTTTCATCTAGTATCTACCTGCTGTTAACATAGAAACAAGATATTCCAGAATGCTCAATTAGTATAAAATTGCAAATAGGTTATATGTAATAGCAAAACATTTTCTTGTAGACTGCACGTAGAATTAGTTAATAATGTAACCATTTTCAAGGAACAACGTGTTCAGCACATATTCATTTTATTTTCTACTTGGTTGAGTGTAGAGTTATATGTTTTAGAACTAAAAGAGCAGCAGAGGGTGCTACAGTTACAGAGCTGCCCAGGCACATACTCCAAAATTGTTGTTCCTGTAGGCAAGTAAATCCTGCAAACGCTTGAGCTTTCCTTTTGGGGTAGTTGTAAATAGGATAGCTTTAAATTCTATTGCCTTTGTTTATACTGGAAAACAGGTGATCTATGTGAAATCCAGAAAAAAATAGAATAATGTATTTACTTTTTTTTCTTTTTTTTTTTTTTCTTAAGTGTTATTGGTGGAAAATGTTCCATGGTTTCCTGAAAACATAATGTCTGGATATAGCTACTGTTACAAAACACTTATTCAACATCTTTAGAACTAGTTTTGTTTGTGCTGATTTTACATTTAGAAGTTCCAGTCTGCCACAAATTTTATATTGGAATTTTTTTTTTTTAAATTTTAATGTGTTCCGCCCCAAGTAAATAAGCTAGTGAAACTGGGGAATGTTTTTTTCTCTTTTCATGAAAATAACAAGAGGGGAAAAGTTTTCGTAAATTTCAGGCACATTTTTTGGAAACAGGTATCAAGGGGGGGAATTCTCCTTTTAGTTTGCACTTTTTTTCAGACTGTATTAAT